TAAATATAGGAATTGATTTACAGAACAATAAATAACTGGTTTTGGTCTAGAGTAATTTAACTTATCCACATAAAACTGCATTCTAAAATAAGTGCGCACATTTTAGTTTGTGTATTTGACAAATACTGAAGGTCAAAAGGACACTTTTGAGGCGCTTACATGTTGACACTGGTTTTTGTTTCCTAAACATTCTTCAAGTTAACTATTGACACGCCACATGGATGTTTGCAGTTGAAGTAAAAGATTCCTATACGTCGCTTTCGATTATCACCTCAGGTAAAAACAGAATACTGTTGTTGGACACATGCCAAGGAATGATTAACAAGATTACTTGAACCTAACCAAAAGTAAACACAGCTCCTGATACAGGTTTCACAGCTACACTCACAGCAAAACATGAACTACACCCATCTTATAATAACTCCAGTGCACTTCCAGTAACTGCCAGTTTACAAGTATCAAGTCAAGTATTTTAGTTGTAAGATAAGATGGCCTTTATTTGGCTATCAGTTTGGAAATTCACATTATTAGAGCAACATCATGGATAGTGCATGGATAAATAGACACAGCACAACATAGCAACAATTATATAATACAAAAACAGTACAAGAAAAGGTTCATGTGAAGCATTAAATTATCAAAAGCTAAACTAAAACCTACACTGGAAATACTATAATAACTTTGAAAACAGTGACGATGGACATGAACATGAAACTGAACAGGAACGTGTGACTATGGAACTATGAAATAAACCGAACATGAACGCAAACAGACGACCAAACAAAGACTGAATGGAACACACAGACTAGGTGGTCAGGGAAAGTGGAAACACATGGGGATCGAGAATCTGTGGCATGATCTGAAAACTGCTGTTCACAAACGCTGTCCATCTAATCTGACTGAGCTGGAGCTGTTTTGCAAAGAAGAATGGGCAAGGATTTCAGTCTCTAGATGTGCAAAGCTGGTAGAGACATACCCTAAAAGACTGGCAGCTGTAATTGCAGCAAAAGGTGGTTCTACAAAGTAGTACAAAGTAGAACCTTACGTCAAGGACTACCTGCAGTGCGTCTCCTTCCAATGCTAGCGCTAGGTGCGTAGCAGCCTCTTTTTTTTGCTCCAGCCACTATGCCTCACTGCCAGCCGAACTTGTGAGAGGTAGAGCACTAGCAGGGTTAGCCTGTTGTATTTCAGCACCTTAGCTAGCCTTGTAGGCATCACTGCACATTTTTAACTTGTAATTATGTGCTATAACAACAACTTCAATAATCTATTGTCAAACTGATATAGAACAATATGTTACAATAACAAACATCTAGAATTACATTTTACAGTGTATCAGCGCATCATCAAAGTAGAAAGAGCAAATTATTTCACTAAGATTATTACATAGAATTCTGGTAGTCCTAAAGTCCTATTCAACACAATCAACTCTGTCCTGCATCCCATCACTACAGCCATATCTGAGACTGCCTCACTCACTTGTGCGGTTTTTCAAAGGTTCTTTACTGAAAAAATTGATAATATCAGAGCACATGTCCGGCTCCTGTTCCAAGACACTTCTGAACCACTTACATGTTCATCCTTTCTCACCCAATTTAAACCAATTTATCCCATCTTACTGATATAATTTCAAATTGAATTGTTACTCATTCTTTTAAACAAGTTGTTGTTCAGTCACTTCCCAAAAAAATTCCTGGTTTAGATCCATCAGTTCTTAGCATTTTAAGACCAAGCTGCCTTTTTTATCCAAGGTCCCCCGGAAAATTGTCCTATTCTGGATAAACATCAGTCTGGTTTCAGAGCTTTCCACAGTCCAGAGTCTGCTCTACTGAAGGTGTTCAATGATGTGCTTTTAGCGGTTGACTCTGGATAAAGTACAGTTTTGATTCTTTTAGACCTCTATTTTAGACTTGAGTGCAGCATTTGACACTGTTGACCACACAATCCTATTAAACCATTTTGAAGACATGCATTGGCTCTAAAATGGTTTGCCTCTTACTTAGAGAGCAGAACATACTCTCTGATGTGATGCGGGGTAACAAATACTCTTCTTTTTCCACATTTGCTTGTGAAATACCTCAAGGCTCTATTCTGGGCCCTGTCTTATTCCCCCATGCTAACCCCCACCACAGGGGTGATAGGGGTGTGTAGGGGTGTGTGGCCTGCCATTAATCCTGCTGGCTGTGCCAAGCTTAGGCCTTTCCCCACTGGGGTCTTTTGCCTTTTGTTTTTAGTGCCCATCATTAAAGTTGTGATTTTTAATTCAATTCTGTGTTTCTACGACCTGCATTTTTGGGCCTGCCAAACACCCAAATGTGCAGATATGACACTTTCAGTTTGTGGTTTCACAGTTTTTCCTCCCACCTTTCTAAATGTTCTCCTGAGGTGCAACAGTGGGTTGATGGCGTGACAATGATGTTAACTCCAACTCATTTTGCAGGTTTTCCTGTACATACTCAAGAATGCTTGGTTGCACTCACCCTCAGCAAGTCTTTCAGCATTCCATACCATGGAAAATGAATGCGCATTACAGTAACTCAAAGCAATAACTGAAGTGATAACGTGTCTATGTTGGAAACTAAAGCACTCCATGCTTTAGTATTGTTTGGTCTCTGATTTCCTTCTATACATGCATGGTTGCTAGGCAATGTTATGATTTCATAATGTTATCCATTATTACAGTTTTAAGAATAAAGATTGCAGTAATAAGATTAAAGTGATTTAGTGTTTTTGTAACATCTTAAACATTTTAACAGGCAGATTGCTAGGCAACATGATAAAGTGATAAGATCTTATCAAGGTAACCATTGCAATGGAAATTTCTTTTACCTTAGTGTATTGATCATGTCTATTAACAGTATCAGTTTAATAAGTTCAATATCACCTTTTGTGTGACTTGGTTATGTATAAAGGATAGCATCATATGTGTTTCATGCTTTATTCCACACACAGTTAAGCATTGTAGTTGGATGAGATGAGGATGGAACTAAGGTATAGACCCCCACGTGATATGTGGCAGTGTCTACATGCTGTGGGATGTCTTTGTCTGTTCTGTATTTAAGGGAGCACACACCGCGCCTGTCTTTAGAGAGTGTGGGCACCAATTTGCAGGCACATGAAATTATTGCAAATTTGGCACTGGAACTTGACCACAACAAGGTCACCAGGTTCAATATATCAAGGTCAGCTGTATGGGATGGAGCTGTTAGAGGATTTCGACGCAGCACATACTCTGACAACTACTACATGTTCATCAAGTTTAATGATGATGCTGGCAGCTTTGAAGACGTTTTGGATACAGGTGGCCCGAGGCGTGAATTCCTCACACTTCTTATGGGCAGTCTGAGAAATCGCCCCATCTTTGATGGACCTCAAGAGAGCCATTATCTTTTATATAATTCAAGAGGTGGATGTTTTCTCCGTAATTATTACAATGGAAATTTTAATAAAAATTGGCTTATTTTTTCATTAGCATATTTAATAGCAATTAACCATGATAATTATGTGCCCTGTATAACAGCTGCCAGGCAAGATGAGTACTTTTTAGCAGGAAAGATGATCGCTGTATCCATTGTGCATGGGGGACCAGCACCACATTTCATCTCCAAGAACCTGGTCAACCACATCAGAATCAGAGTTTCAGCGCCACTGTAGAAGATGTGCAAGATGAGGAGATCACAAAAGTTCTACATCAGGTAGAAAATTACCTAGGCTCAGGGAATGGGTTTACTTAGAAGACACTTGGGGCCAGTTTAAAAGATTTAATCAGGATAAAAGTTATCCGTGTTGGATCATATCTTGAAAGTAGGTTCAAGGTAGATTCTGTAATCTGAAAGGACAGATTTCCACCTCCCAACAACACAAGTGAAATAACAAATTGATTATTTTTTTAATCCAATGTTTGAATGAATCGTAAAAGTAGTGAAAATTATTTTTGTTTTTCTTACAGTAAACCTTTTTTTTTTTATAGGTCCTGAAAGCTGAATCAGAGGAGTCTTTGCATAATCTTATTTTGCAAAACAGCACAATCTTCCAAACTGCTGGATGCCTCAGAAACGTCAAGCCTTGTGAGAAACAAGCATTTGTGGAGGAGTACCTCAGATGGTACATCCTTGAAAGAAACCAAAGTGTCATTCAACGGTAAACTCATTACTCCTTTTAAATTCAGGATGGCCAGTTGCTCATCACAGCAGCCACTGACATTTTCAGACCTTCAGATGTATATGAAAAAACTGATTCAGTAGCATTCGTGTGATCTGATGAACAACAAGTTAATTCCTGAGCCACTGTCGCACGCTATTAACCTTTTGACACTAGAACTCTAATTTAGTATACATTTATTGTTCACAATGACCCATAATAATCATAGTCATGCAACATGATTAATTTTTCAGTTATTTATAAAAAGAGGTGATCCCTTGTTTGACACACTTGTTTATTCCAGTGTGAAAGCACTATTTTTTTTAAATGCTGAAATCCCGATGAGCTCTTCTTTTTTTGCTGTCACAGTTAATTTCTGAGCACTATGAATTGTTTTTGTGTATGAGTGATTCTATGCATTTGAAATCTGTCCAAATTTGTAATGAAAGATCTAGTAGGTAAAGATATTTAAACACAATTTAGAAGACTGCAATAGTTATAGCTATAAACCAATTATTAGTTATTTGTCTATCCTTTGCAGATTTAAAGATGGACTGGAAAGTCTGAATTTTTTAAGTGCACTGCAACAACATTCCAGTGTGCTGGCCCCACTCCTATGCTTCTCTGCCAAGGCCCTGACTGCTTCAGAACTGGAGAGCATGTTCAGACCAGATCTCAGCCCAACAGGAAGCAACAAGCAGCATAAGGAGGTCCTAACACTTGGCTTTTGGGCAGATTATCTCCTTGATTGTGAAGGTTTGAATGGCCATTTTTATTTGTTTATAGTTTTATGAAAGGAGAGGTAAGGAAATTAATTTTCTGTAATGTACTACAGTGTTTACTTTCTTCTTTCAGAGAAGGCAACAGCAGTGTGTCTGGAAGATTTGATGATGTTTGCCACAGGGCTGACGGCAGTTCCACCGGCAGGAATGACACTACCACCATGCATCCAGTTTTTAAGTGATTCGCCTTTTCCAGTTGCAAACACCTGTGCAAATACCCTGAAGCTACCCATCTGTGACTCATACAGCATCTTTAAGGCCCACATGGACTTTGGAATTCAAAATGCTCCAGGATTTGGATGTTCTTAAATTAGCAAGGTCATCAAGTTACAGTTACTGAGTTACCCTGTTAGGTTCAGCTGCCGTTGGCACACTACTTAACACATTCATGTGACAAGCAACTTCCATATTGTTAAACATTTAGTTGTTTTTTCTGAATATTGTGTATGTTGGAAAAGTGACAGAAATGCTGGACACTATTTGTAAATGGTTTTATTAAAGAAAATTTTAAATGTTTTGTGGAGCAGGGAAATTATTTTACTGCTATTGTTAAATAATCATCATTATTACCATTGCATTAATAATAGAATTTGCAGCATTGATATTGTATTCAGAGGTTTAAACAGTGTGTGTTTTAGAAAGACTAAGTGCAGCAGGCTGACAGGAAGTTGCAGAGAGTTTGCAGGAGAGTTTGCAGAAG